ATGCAATTTTCACCTCCTTCCCCGGTTTCATTCCATCGCTGCATTCTGGAACATAATCCGGTCACGCACCATCATAAGGACATTTGTGCAGTGCTCTCAATTGGATAAGAGTGAAAGTTGTTTGGCTTCGTCTACCTGGATCACACGTCCTGCTATAATATGGGTTCGCCCATACAGGCGCCAATATCGCTGGATATTATTTGGGCCATGCAAACTACCTCAATGAATGCGTGGTTGGCAGCTCCCCTACTGTTAGTATGACACTGTTCATCGGGTGCAGGACATGACGACTTGTATCGAAACTCCAGACGTCCTTATTTGACGATAGTGGGTAAACCATGGAACGACTGACAAACTAGGTAATATTTTGCCAGTTTCAGACCAGATGAGAACTCCGGAATGCTCCTTTGCGATGGAAGCGTTTCAATTGAACGGAATACCGTTGTGTAGTTGTCAGGACGCGCCCGGGAAAGAAAAATGCACATGTGCAGAAAGTGACGCATCCCAAGGTCACCATCGGTACGACGCGTCAGGAAAGTAGGTGAATTGGCGTCTCTCACCAAACACGTCCTTACAACATACGACAAACGTAGTGAGCCCGAGATTGTTCATCGCCATTGGCTGTACAAATCGAACAAGTGAACGACAATACTTGTCCATTTATTCATCCTATATATTACGCAGACGCTCTGTATGTTTTATCCTGGCAATGCAGCCGTGTCCCTAGTTCTCTGTCTTCTATCTATCGCGGGGTCTGGCAGGCTCAGTGCAGGTGTAACCCATAGACAGCCACCCACGATACAACAGTGACTCACACTCTGTAAAAATGTGTCCGACAGTGATCATCTGAGTCATGCTTTTGTGAGGAGTGTGTCGCATATTTGAAGGTAGTATTTGTGGCTAGATACTTCCATTGAGAGCTATTCTTCACGGAAGCGATGAAACAGATATTTTCGTCAATACGACCAATCAACAGCCTGGGGATTTTTTATTCTGTTTGACCGATATGACAGAACATAACTCCACTAGTTCGTCTGCTATGCCCGAGACGGCTCTACCATCTTAAGGGATGGAAATCAGACCCGGAAACGTGCCGTCCGGTCAGTGTTAGGGAGTTTGGTCTCAGCCTCCCCTGGAATCAGAACTATATCGCAATTTATGCGCGGCCGAACTGTGAATGCCACACCTGAGCCGCAGTACGATGTGACATTTGTGAAACCGATTCGCACTGTTGCGTAACCAACTTATTCCCAAGTATTGCTAAAAGTAAACATGAAGCATTCACCTAGCTCACGAACGACAAGTGTCTCAGTCTTCTTAGTCACCCTGTGGGTATTGAATTTACCACCCCTCCCCCAAACAGCTAAGACTTTACCCTACGTGACCTCGTAAATTCCCCATAACAGAACATGTGATTGTAACTTAGCAAGTAACCCCGTGATCAGTCAAGTAAATTTTTCATGCCGAATAACGGAGCACAGTACCGCAGCCCTCTCTCACAATTCGCTTTTATTGTCTTACAGTCGACAACCTCGTAAGGCAGGTTTTATCAGCTATGAATTACTTAGGTGTGAAGTTGATTTGGCGGGCTGGATAAATGAAGTCAGCACCTAACCACGCTTACCATTCATTAGCTACAGGTAGCTCGATAACTAGGAGAAGGAAGCAGTGCACTTTAGGATGCGCGAAGGTGATATTACCTGCTCTCCAAATAAAAAGGGAATGTCCAATAAAGGGTATTGTTCCTCCATGTTTGCTGCATTTCCTGATCGAAGAGATGTTGTGGTTGAATCTAGACAGTACACAAAGCATGATATCGTAATTTCCAGTGATAAAAGCATAGTGAAACTGATCTATACAGGCGGCACCAATCTTGACTTTGCGTAAGGGTGATTTTGGACGAACTGACAAAGATCATTGTTAAATCACACCTAAACAGGTTGCAGTTAGATGGACATTTGAGGTTTTGTGGGCCACGAATAGCTTTCAATATGACTGGTGAGGCACTCGTCTCTGACCACACTCCGTCAAGACCCGCATTCAATTCCACTGCGTCCTACAAACCCCGGCTGCATCTACCACAACTTACCAAACGAGGAATTCGCTAAGTCTCTTATTCCCTTTGTGCATTATTCAGTTGTGCTAGTGACTCTTCTAACCACTATACATAACTGTTTATTGCCAATGTTATTTACCCTTTGATATTACTTCGAGTAAAAGACAGTAGCACTAACATACTCTCATCCTCTTCATATACACTACCTGAAAAGACTAAAGATACAAGGCCGGAAAAAGTTTCAAAAAACAGGCTTTAAACATTATGGTTATTGGAGAACCCACTACATGGTGTGCTGTTTGCAAGGTTTTGGACAAAAGTAGGAATTATTCAGAAGATGGTAGTTGATTATGTGTATTCATAGTAAAAATGGCTGACTATGTCTCTTTGCCTGGCCACTATACAGTGGCCGGCCTATAAACGCATAAAAACACCACAGCATTTTTCCTCTGTTCATTAGCCGATGCTAACCGACGAAACAAAGGCGAAACCGATGATAAATCATGTACGAGGTTGGATGAAGTTCACAAGAAGTACGTTCAAAGCCGTGAGTCGAATCGTTAACAGTGGAATTATTGAGGTACCTGTAAAAGTGAAACAAGAATCCACTTAGATGCGGTTTGATTGGTGCAACGTAATTCGGAAAGTATAGGGCGTAATTGAACGGTNGACATCCACTTACCTGCGTCAGTAGATTCTGCTGATCAAAACGAATGGAAATCAACGTAATGGCGCAGATTAAAGTATAATGAACACGAGTATCTATCGAGTAATTTACTGAGTATGAATAAATGGTTTCTGATGAGACTGCTTGGCGTCGGAATGACTAATTATGGCATTCACCTAGGTCGACTTGAAGACTCGACATCAGTGTGCTATAATAGTTCATCCGCCCGCGCGACTAGTGGTCAGAACGGAAGTCAAAACAAACAGTGTTTCACCAGGATCAGCTGAATTTGGTATTTTGATTTCCCATCCACACCGTTCTCGTCACAACGTTCCCACCAGTGTTCTAAGCATGGAATTAGGGTTAGTCCACAAAAATCCAGACTCTCAAGAATAATTGCACCAAGAAAGGATGAATACTGTTCAGATATAAATGTGGTCACATTCTGCACTATTTCTCTGTCATTCAGGGTTGACTCTGTCATATGTACTCCTTCGAGAACTATTTACCACAGAAAGAGGTAATTCGACCGTTGACTGCGTGAAAATCTTGGATACAACGAAGTAGAATTTGGTCTCATCTCATCATCGAATCATGTATCCAGATGAGAGATTTGTAGCCCCATATAACCTACTTAGGTACCGATCTTGGGCACTTGTGTTACAAGTTTGGACGAAAGCATTGTCCAATTTCTTGCCGGCTGTTTTGCATCCTACCGCTATTTTTGTCTACTAGTTGGCGGTCGGTCATCTGTAGAATCGACGCTTCTAGAATTGACGAATTCGACTCCCAAATTGGTGCGCTCAAAACTCGAGGGAAAAAGAGCAGAGCTGTGTGGCTAAAAAAATTGGAAACTTCACGAAAGAATGCCTTACGTAGGGTGAAATTTTGGGTCGATCAAAGTCGCTAGTATACTAAAAATTCGATAAATGTATGCGAAACACTTGCACGGTTTCGACCTCGTTAACTGAGATAAAGAGGTCCCATTTACCAAGTATCGCTTACGTTTAACTGTCACTGTCCGCTCAAAGTTGTACAGCGCTACTCCTTCTGGTGTGGAAAACGTACACGATACGTTAAACGAGCTCGGTTGGTCCCGGTAGCCTTGTACATCTGGAGGTCCTATTTTCACCGAGTTATCGGCTTCCAATGTCGTAACGGAAGCCGCCTCTGTTGGATCCACAGTAGCCTTCCAGGTTCCGTTCAAGGACTTGGCAGCGTCCAGTGGAACCAGATCACACTGGAATTCCTTGGTGGAACCGGATGTCACCTCTGAGTTCCCACTATTTTCACCGTCCAAAGTTCCATCCAAGGGCATGGCTGTCAAGAAAATAAATATGCATTCAAAGGCATTCGGCGTGGCGTTGTCATCTGAAGCTTTTTTAGACGTACATGTATTGAATATTGCAACTTACGCAAAATGCGCACGGTCAACGTCTGCACAAGTGGTTTTGAACTGGGTGCATATTTACATTCCACGGTAGTGGACCCGTATTTTGTGTAGGCCGGTCCAGGA